GGGGTTTGAAGAAAGATGGTATGAAACAAGGGAGATTGGGGTCGAAGGTATTAGGGGGAAAAAGGACTGAGAATGGACGGAATAATGGTGTTCTGAATGGTTTACGAAAATCTAATGTTGAGTTGGAGAGTAACGCAAATGATGGTAGTTCTGATATTGGGAGAGCAAGTGACATGGGTGGTGATGTGAAAAACTTCAATTTTCGAATTGTTGAGTGATGGAGGTGAGTCAGATCAAAAGGACATGAGTAATGCACTTGTGCCTGATAAAAATGACAAGGCAAATATAGGAAAAAATGAGGAGGTGAATGGCAATGGAGATGGAGAGAAGCTATGTTCTACAGACGGTTTGACAAATGACGATCATCTCATGGAGATGGTGCCAACTTCTTTTGATAGGAAATTGAAAATGAAGTTTAAAATGAAGGGTGGTGAGTGGTTTAAGAGTGGAATTTTAAAGAATAGTAAATCGAAAGTGGATTCCAGAAGTTCAAGTCCTATAAAGAAAGGTTCTTCTTTCCCAAAGGACAAAAAGTCTGATTCTAAGACAGATTCAAGTTCATCTTCAGATTCAGAGAAAGAACAAGAGAGGGCGGAAAGGATAAAAAGAAGGCATTAGATTCTGGCAGATAGAGCAGCTGCCAAAACAATTGAGGCTATCAAAGATCGTGAGAACCTGGTTGCTAAATTGGAGGGAGAGAAACAGAGTTTAGAGAAAATACCTGAAGAGTGGGCCAAACGGCAAATACAAGAGGTAAGTATTTTAGGGCTAGTCAAAAATTTTTATGTAATATTATTGAAATAATTATTACAGCGATTGATAAAGTTACTCCGAAACCATGTCTCCCTAATTTCTAGCATTAACTATGGAAATTGTTACAATATTATATCAACATAAAACCAAACAAAGACATATTCATTTGTCACTGATAGAAGTGCATATTTAGAGATAATATACAAAATATTTGTGCAATAACAAGTGAACTAAGAAGGTACTTTTAATATTATATGATACAGAAGCACATGATTGTCTCTCTCTATAATTTGAAGAAGTTTTGGTCATAATTATCTTCCATGAGTAACAAGCTCAATTTCTTCACTCTTTTGACATGTTCCATTTTAACACCAGTAACTGTGCTACAATCGTTTGTCTTCCTAAAATTGATTTATAACTTAGTGATGTTATATTAAAAGCTTAATCACAGGTAAAAGTCATCTTACTTTATCATTTTTCTTATAATACTAATCCTAGGAATTGTTTTTCGATTTAAGCATGCTTATCAGTTGTTATATTCTATGATCAACCAAAAGCTACTTGTTTGCGAATCTTTTACCCTTTTTTTGTTCGTAAGTTTTAAACTTTGTCTATTGTCATCCATCTTTCCTGTTGATTCTTCTGTTTGTTGAATTGATTTACTTCTTCTGTTGTTATTATGATACCTTTAGTTCTTACGAAGGCCTTCAGTAGCTTTGCCTTTGGAAGATCAACTCCACTGTCAATACTTATTTGGCAATTTTTCTAGGCTTCAGAATTGCAGACATCAATGATGGAGATTATGGAAGCTGCTGATTTAGAGAAGCAGAAACATAGCAATACACGAATGGAAGCACTTGTGAGATTTTCAAAACTTGAGGTGGTGTTATAATTTCATTAAAATAGATTTAAGCTTTAGCTCTATAGTTGATATCTTTTCGGATTTTAAATATTATCCTTTAATTTTTGTTGTTGTTGTTGTTATAATTCTCAGTATGTTCATTCATTGCATTTTACACACCGCAGACTGCAAATGCCGACCTTGCAAGGTCTCTTGCTGCTGCACAGAAAAACTCTGAAATAGAGGTACTTGAAAACCTCTTTAGTTGGTTATTGTGTTGCATTTTTCTTTGCGCTTGCTACCTCCTCCTTTCTTTTGGTTTCTTGTCCTATTTTTCCCGTGAATGTTAAATGATCCATGAATAACTTGAGAAAACTCAAGACATATTATGTTGCTAAAGCCAAATTTTTGCTATATATTGTTGTACTTATTCATGTTTTCAATGCAAAAGCGAAAGGAGAGGAAATTGTCATGAGAAAACTTAATTTGACATACTATCATCTATTGCATGTACAGGAGGTGCGGCACCAATGTTGTGATAATAATTTCATTGGTTATTTGTAAAGTTAGCAAATTGAAGGAGGACCTGGATCTCTTTGGACTATGTTTCTTTCTCCATCCATGTTTTAAATTTTTGCTCAGTAGTTAATTATCAATAAACGAGTAATTATCAGCTCATTAGTAAGTTAGTGATAGATGTTCAATTAGGCTTCAAAATCGACCTTTTGAAATGCTTGAATTGAAATTGTTCAATGACTTCTATATGCTAGCATGATAGCAAATAGGTTGACTCATGATTTTGTGCATGGATGGACCAGGTTTATTGTATCGCTGAACTTCGTCAAAAGATTCAGTTGAAAGAAGGAACTCATGAAGGTGTGCTTTATGTATCTTAATTGGATGGAAAGTAACTTAAGTTTCGATCCCTCTCTTTCAGTTCTTGCAGTATGTGTGCTTTGTTTCCATGCCAGAATAACTTGACTGAACATAGCTCATGATGTTAAACTAGAGGCCTGTCACTCCAAATAACATGGAGAATTGTACATGAAATCTTGCTTCACGGGGCAGAGACCATTTGATTTTCTTTTTCCAAATTTCCTGCACTTCATATTTACCATGCAGAGCTGTTGTCCTTTCATTTTTGTTTCTATTGATTTTACATTTTAGTTTTTTTTTTGGACATCCTTGAAGTTTAATTTTGAACTTGGTCAGTATTTCATAATTTTGTACTTAAATATTAAATACTAGATATGCAATTGCGGAGTACTCTGGTTAATTATCCTCATCTTGTAAACGAGTACACAATGGCATCCTTTTTAGTGTTCCATTTGTTTTGCTGTTAAAAAAATTATTAATAGGGAAACCTAGTAAGATCTTTGAGCCTTTTCATCTATGTTTTTTATGTATTTAACTTTGTGGAGGAACTAGATAATTTTATCATTAAATAGAGATTAATTACTAAGATATATTGTTTTCTCTGGCAGAATTGAGAAGGAAAATATCAGCTAGGTGCCAAAACGGGGGGAATGTGAGCATCTGTTGCTTCTTATGCGTTTAGTCGGAATATTTCTTATATCTTCTCAACTAAAGTTCCACGAAAATGCTTTGTAGCCTGGTAGCTTCAAAATGTGTCGAATTTGAATTGAAGATGCTCGAGGCAGAGTATTCCTTTGTAACTAATAAAGTAGAACGCTTGCAAGAAAAGGTGGCATACTTCCTTTTCTATTAAATTGTATTGGTACATTTGATGTTGTACCATAATTTTTATGCTACAACATTCTATGGACCAATAAATGTTCTTAATTTTATGTTGTAGTTCAAAAAGTGTTGGAAGAGTATAAATTTTCTGCTTCATTGGAAGCAGCCATCAGTGGCCTTCATTTCACTGTGCAAACAAAATTGAGTTGATCACTTGCTTTCTCTACTCTAATGGGCGTAGATTACCTTTCTGATGAGAATTAAATTCTGAAAAGCCATTATTGATGGTAGAATGAGCGCTTAAATTATATATCACATACATTTGACTTTTTAAATGTGTTTAAATGTTAGTAATTTATTAAAGCACCAAATTTACAGCCATGAATAAGTATATGCCGGGAAAACTCATATCTAAGATCGTTTCACAGCTGCCCTCCAAATCTGTGCTTCATTGTATGTTAGTTAGCAAATCATAAGACAAGGTATTTTTAAACTGTTAATTACCGGTGTATCTTCTATCTTTACCCCCCCCCCCCCCCCCCCCCCCCCTCTTTTTTTTTTTTTTTTTTTTGTTTTGAAAACATGCATTTCAGATTTTTTATGGTCAATGTTGCTAATGAAATGTTATTTATTTGCATTGTAGATTTTGTTGGTTCCATTCGGCGAGGCCATATTTATTTCACGTTTAATAAAATTTTAGGTTCAAACTCATTTTCCTAATTCTGTGGCCTCGATTTGACTATTTTTATAGTAGTAATTGAGAAATAAGTTGAAGAAAAAATGTTTCTTCTCTGTATTCTTATTGTGGTTGATAATTTCACTTGTTTACTAGTGAGGACTTACTATTTGAATAAGGTTAATTATAAATTTATGTTTTATCATTTACTATTGTGCTGTCTTTGGAGTTTATTTGACTAAAAGGTGTTGAAAATGGTTGCTTTCTGAAGGCTTAAGGTTAGTTAAATTGGTCGGGCCTTGTGTACAATGATTTGATTTTTGATTATATGCTGGTTTATGTACAATGATTTGATTTTTGATTATATGCTGGTTTATGGACTCAATGGGTCATTTTATCTCTATGTTACCCACCATTTCGGTGTCACAAGGCAGGTAAAACTTTATGACAAAAATCTGGGTTATATCCTAATCGTTAAATTTACTGAATTTTGTCCTTATTAACAGGATACAGAGAATGATTTACCTCTTGCCTTGGAGAAAGAGGGAGCTTGATAGCATTTGTAAGAAGTAAGCAGTTAAAATTGAGCATTTAAACCTACTGGTAATAGAATATTTTCCTGTTATAAGCTGTTTGAACCATAATCGTGTTTTAAATTGGCCTAACATTTAAATTTGGTCTAACATTTATACGATAAAAATGATTATGACTTTATAAGTCTATTTATATACTATGTCTCCCAAAACTTAAAAAACATGTCATGTTCTTTCAAAAGAATCAGTATTTGTGCCAAATTAGATAGACAAGACAACTCTAAATGAGCAGGTCAAACCTTGATATTTCCATTTGAGCATCGTCAAAGATTCATCTCAGATACATTTAACACAAACCAACAAAAAATAACTTGAATTCAAAACCCCATATAAAAAATTTAAATGTAAAACATAAATGCACCCTAAAGAATCATACCAAATAAAAAAACACACGAGGTATAAAAGTTTCTCACCTTTTAATCAATAGAGTAGGACAAATAAATATGGCAAAGAAATCGAGAACATGGTAAATGGATAGAAAGTCGAATGAGAAGTTAAAGTCAAAAAAAAAAAAAAAAAAAAAAAAAAATTTTTAGAAAAAAAAAAAAAAAAAAAAAAAAAAAAAAAAAAAAAAGATCTTTAGTAGAGTAACACTAACAAACAGGAAACTAAAAAGAAATAACAATAAAAATGATCAAAACTTTTCAAAATGTGTATAAAACCAAGAAAAAAATCAAGGAAATCAGCATAGAACATGAATCACACAAAACAAAATACCACAATGAAAAAAAAAATTATTTAAAAAAAAAGAAAGATAAAAACTATACAAAATCCTTATCAGTGAAGAGATAACCTAAATCTATAACAAAAATATAGGAAAGCTGATAGACTGGAAAAAATATTCCTACTAACAAATTAAATTGATGATGTGTCAAGAACTAACAGGATTGGCAGTAAAATGGAACAACAGATCTCATCTTGGGTTATTTGGACTTGTGCTAAAGTTGGAGTACCTTCTATTTATTATACAAACATAATCTTGAAATTCAACTCAATCATATGACCTGTGTCAAAACGTTGAAAAATATCAGATGCGTCAACTATACAGGAAAACAGTTTATGTAACCTCATTTATTTCTTATTCACGTATATTTTTTTATTAATCTAAGTGTGACAGAATGCTATTGTGAAATTGTAAAAGCCGTTAACATGTTGCAAATTTTTTCTCATATCATGTAGAAATTGATATAAATGTGTTATCTTTTTTTATAATCATTTGTATATTTTCAACATCTCTTCTAAATGTTGCCAGCTTGATTTCTTCAAAAGCATTCCAAAAAACTACAATTTATACACTAATAAAAATATGATAAATATAAAATTCGTGCAATGCACGTGGCAGCAACTAGTAAACTTTATGAACTATATAAGTTGCAAGCTTATTTAGTTTATTTTGTTCTTAGGAATGCAAATATCACATACCTTGGCTGCTTAAACATACAACATAAGAAAGCTTTAGAAAAAGTCTTGTCTATCATTTGAGGAATTCTCTTTATATAATTGATACCGATCTATCCGTTCATAGATGTTTTATTTTTCAGGCAAGAAAATTATTTGAGTCCGAGCCGGAGAAGCTGAATTAAGTCATACATCAACTGGAGGTCAGAAAAATTGCTGCCTCACTACTGGAGTATGATGTGAAAGTTGAGATGCTATGGCCGTGTGAATTTTTTTTCAACTGCAATGCTATTCAAAGGTTCCATTTCTGCTTTGCTCCATTTAGGATAAATATCGTAGCTATGGGTTCATTCAAATGATGTTGTCACAAACATGGAGGAAGTTTGATGGAATATCATTTCATATGCATTTCTTAATGAATGTGAGATGATGAAAATAGGAAATGTGCGAGGTATCAGTGGAATGATGCTGAAAACAGGACTTAACTCGTTGATGAACAGATCTGCACAAACAGTAAACAAAATAACATTACAACAAACTAACTTTCAAGCAGACCCGTTGTCCTTCTAGGATTACTAATTTCTTCTTCAAACCATGTAATGGACCTCAGCAAATCAAAGGTTATTCTTTAGATCTAAGGCACAAGGGTAGGTTGTACCATACAAACAATCCCCAAATAATGATTTCCTATAGAAGCATAGAGAGTTAGGGGCAAATTTACATCCAACTCTTGGCAATCACAAAATAGAGAAATGCAAAGGTCAGGCTTAAGTGTTTGCATGTACGAAAGCTTCTAATAGGTTTTTTATATTCGTAGTAGAGAATCACTTTTGATTTTATCTAGGGAAATCTACTGTGGAAGTCATGCACTTGCTTCAATTATTGTTCAAAAGTACAGAGAAAAGAGAAGATTTAAAATTATTTTTCATTAAGTTAGAAAAGTCCATGATGGGCACCCATGGAAGACTCTGATGAGTGGTAGAAAGAAAACAGATTTCTACTAGATATGTTGACATTATTAAGGAAATGTATGATGAAACAGTGTTCAACATGAGATGTTTTGACGGTAGTAGTAAGGAATTATTTTTTCTTCTTCACTAATAAATCGAGCAATTAACTCATGTTTCTCTAATCAATTCTATTTCTAGATTGAATCAGGAAAGAAAACCTATGAAAAGATCCCATTGCCTATGATTGTAGTTTTGCATGAGCATTATGCCTCAAGTTCTATATTCGCTTTAATCTTGGACGAGCTTAAGAGACATTAAAGTTGAAGAGTAGATTCTCTATAGATACATTTTTTTAAACAAATTTGTTATGCCTGTCTTCTTTACTTCAAAATTTACTATTCTATTTGTGATAGACCATAACAATACTAAGTGAAAATCCTAAGAATCCCTACCTTTTCTTTGAATTGTTGGATATCTTCTAATAAGATTTTCTCCATGTCTCGTCCAAATGATACTTCCACTAAAGTTCCATCTTTTCCACCCTCTTCATCACATCACTTGGAAAATTTAAGAGAACATTTTTCTTCTATAGCCATAATTAATAAAATAGATAATTGCTATACTCAACCATAAAGGTCATGCACAATTGAAACCAACACATTCTAAAACTTTTAAATTGGCTCATGTAGAACAACCTTGTAGAAAATTGGCTTTCTCGATTTCAATCAGTTATGACAAAAATCTTCTCAAACATATTTCTGCTTCTACTTAATCTAACAATTGCCTATTGAATTTGGTTATGATGAAGTGTATTCTTTGTTGATATTTTAAATTCTTTGCAACTTGTTTTGTTCATTTTATTTACATGTTAAATTATTCTATTAAAGTTTTTACGATACTTATTTATTACAAGTACTTGTCTATTAAAATGTCATAATCTGGTTTGTATGTTTTTTGCGTCTTTCATTCTTCAATATCCTTCAATTTTCTTCCTTTAATGAACACAATAGTTCTACCCCTGGAAAAGGTAAAATTATGGAGTCTACAATAAGTTCTGATACTTCGAATTCTAATTGTATTTTACGTTGTGGAAATTTTGATTGGAAGGACATCATATAGCTAAGAAAATACCAAAATAGGATTTGCGAGTAATTTGTCCCAAATAAATCATTAAAACAAATGGTTTTCTCATCTCAGAATAGTAGCCAATGTTTATTCATTTCACCACTTTGTTTTTACGTTGAGAAACTGTTGACATGTGCAGCCCAATTCAAATAGCCCAAAGAATGAAGTCCAACTGGGCAATTCAGGATAAAAGCCCAAATAGGGTTATTAATGAATGCAGTGGAAGCCCACGAACGCAGTAACACCATCGCCCAAACTTACAAGACGCCTATGATCTGAGCGAATGAAGTGCCTTGCAGTCGCCTAGAGTTATGACCCTGTTCTCGCCCACACTTTCGAATCGCCCTGGATCTTAGCAAACATGAGATGTTATGGTTATCCAAAAGTGCAATTATCGAAGCAGTTTTTGGGTAATCTTATCACGTTCCACGATTCAAGGATGTTTAGTTGAGGACGGTTAAACGACAAAGAGTAATGGCAGCAGTTAGAGACGGCAGTTCCACGATAAGTTGGCCACCATGGAGAAAGCAGGCAGTTATAAAGCAATTAAGCGGTTTCTAAGCGGTTGATCACAAAGAGAGCATCAAAGGAATATAAAAGGAAGAAAAAACTAGAGCAAAAGACCCCGAATCAAACACTATTAAATAGAGAACATGTAATTTCAATTCCTTAGTTTAGATTTAAAACATTTCTTTTCAGTACTCGTGTGCTTGCGCCTTTAAATTCCAATTGTAAAGTCATTGCCAATAAAACACCCCTTTTTGGGACTTTATCTCAAGAGGTTTGTCCCTTACACAATCGTTTGACCCCCTTTTAATTGTTAGCGACTACCCACACGAAACAATTTGGCACGCCTAGTGGGACATTGGTGTTTGGTGTTGAAGATACAAAAGGTGAAACAATATGCCTCAGAAATTCGATAAGGAAACAGCAAGCCAAGGAGGAGTCCAGTCTGTGATCGAGCGATATGAGGAGCAGTATAGCTCTCCACGAATAGATAGATAGGATCAGAGCAATCACAGTCGCTACGAACCAATGACAGAGTTGAGTCCTCGAACCATGCGGGCATTACTCGGAGAACTCACACAAGATGTTGTTGAACAGGTAAATCTACGAAATATTCATAATATGGAAAGATTTACCCAAAATGAGAATGCACATTATGACAACATGGCCAAACAACTGAATACTTTGAACGAAATGATGAATAAATTGGTAGGCTAAATTTGTCAGCCAGTTGTGCCTCTTACGAACCACTTTCAAACTAGGACATAATCCCCCAGTCCTAAGTTTAAATCAAGGGGTAGAACTACCTTTTGATCCCTCTACTTCAAACCAGGGGGGTGGTGCAATACCAAATCAGAATGTGGCATTGGTACGTCTAACTTGGGGGGGAATCCAAATGTAAGAGATAATGTCCTAAATAATGGGCAGAATACCCCACGTGTTAATGAGGGAATAAATGTTCGGGCTAATGGTAACAATGACCCAAATCATGGTAACTTTGTTCCCAATCAAGGACCAAACATCATGCCTCAAGCAAATCAACCAGTCAACCAACCTGTAGGGATTCCATATGACCCCAACGTCATGTTGAGGAATCAGATTATGAAAGTCGTATAGGACCAGATGGCTTTCGGAGTACGTTGTGTCATTAGGCCAATTTACACAAAGCCATATCCTGATTGGGTAGACCAAGCATATCCGTGGCCTAGAGGGTATAAAGTGCCAGAATTCTCACTGTTTACCGGTTTAGGAGAGGTGTCTACTCTAGAACACATAGGGCGATTCACACTGCAAAGTGGTGATGTAACTGATTACCATAAAATGATGCTATTCCCTAGTTCATTAATAGGAGTAGCCTTCTCCTGGTTCATTAATTTGCCAGCAAACTTTGTTCAAACATGGCAACAATTGGAGCAATTGTTCCACACTCAGTTTTATAAGACTGAGTCTGAAATTACTTTAGCCGACTTGGCGAATCTACATCAAATGCCAAACAAATGGGCAGAAAATTTCCTTCAAAGGTTCAAAATAGTAAGAAGTAAATGTTTTGTACCTTTGCCTTTGCCCGAAAAAAAGTTTGTCAAAATCGCTCAAGGCTGTCTAAACTTTGATTTGAAAAAGAAGTTCCAAGACAAGGAATTTCCTGATCTTTTCCAATTGAGCGCGAACGTGATTAGGTATGAACGATTAATAGAGAGGAAGAACAAATGAAAAATTCCAGCAAAGGGACTTATTATAGAGACCCAAATTTTGATGTTCATACCATTAACGATGAATATTACGATCAAACCGAAATGTGTTTGGCCGAATTAGTTAAAGGAGACACATATACTTGTCCTATAATGGCTAAGCCTAGACCGTCAAGCAAAAATGAGCCTATAAAAGATGAGAACATAAAGGCTAGAACGTTCTCGTTCGATGTAACCAAAGCTGGTCTTATAATTGATAAATTATATAAGGATAAGCAGATAAAGTTGAGTGATAAGCATAAATTGCCAAGCCCTGAACAAATTAAGGGTAAAAAATATTGTAAGTGGCATAATGCATGGTCACATTTGACTAATAATTGTTTGATTTTTCGTCATATGTTACAGGATGCAATTGAAAAAGGATGAATTACGTTCGAAGATAAGAGAAAGATGGCAGTGGATGAAAATCCTTTTCCACAGCCACTTGGAGTGAACATGGTGACATTTGGTTTCAGAAACAAGTTGCCGAAATTCAAGTTAGTTATAGATGATGGAGAAGAAGAAGCTAGACCACATCCCAGCGTCTTTGAACGAATCAAAGGGAAGGAGTCCAAAAAGGACGAAGATGTCCTATGTGCAAGGTGCAAAAAAGAAGTGAGTGCAAATGCAGAGAAACCAGGAATATGGCAGCATCACCATCGTCCTAATTTTTTCCCAAACGCTTAGCCTGGTAGAGGGTAGGGTACATCGTTCTATAAGGGACCGCCTTTTGAGAGGCAGTTCAGGCCAGTAAATAATGGAAAAACATTCAGACCGCAACCTCGCCAACCAAATGTATGACATTCGTTCCAGTATAAGGTTGGAAGGACAATACCTTTCAACAAGATGACTAGAACCCAACAAAGGTGTTTTCAACGAAACTATGAGCGAATGATGAGGCAACAACAGGGAACGCTACGTCCAAAGGCACCTAGACTACTCGAGGCAGCTAATCAAAATGTTCTCAAAAACAGTGAAGAGATTGGAAT